TGTGAGTGAAATAATCTGGCCATTGAATCAAAATATCAGATGAAGGAGAGGTGGAAGTACCTGAAGACTGAAGTCTGAGCTTGTCTTCTGACCTCAATCTGGATAGTGTGCATGTGTGTAGCCACCCTCTCATGAGTATTCCCATATACAGACTCAAATTAAAGAAAGGATAAATTGTACTCTTCTTCTTCTGCCCCTTCTTCTTCTTCTTCTTCTTCTTCTTCTTCTTGTCTCCGGTCTTCCTTCCGTTCTTCTTTCTTTCTTTCTTTTTTTCTTTCTTTCTTTCTTTCTTTCTTTCTTTCTTTCTTTCTTGTCTTTATCTTCTTGCTCTTTCTCTTCTACTGTTGCTGTGCTGCTGCTGCTGCTGCTTGGTTATTATGAACACAATGAAATTAGTTGCTTCAAATTCCTGTTGTGGAAACTTGCTAACCAAAATACCCTGTCTTCTCTCAAAGTGTGAACTAAAACAAACCATTCTTTCTTCCATGGGCTGCATTTTCTTCAGTTTTATCACAGCAAAAAGAACAGTAATTTTATTCTGTATTTATCTGTTCATCAGTCACTTTTATATTGTCTTTTTGGGTTTTATGTTTGTTTGTTTTTAGTTTTAGGAATTCATCCTAAGGACTTTCTCATGCAACATATAACATTGAAATCAACCCCAGCTCTCATGTTTCTATGTAGTTATTTTAGTTTCTATTTCTTTTACTTTTCTAAAAATCTGTTTATTTTTACCCTATATGTATGTTTACACTTATATATGTTTGTTCACCACATATAAGCTTGGTACACATAGAGGCCAGTAGGAGGCATTGAAACACAGGAATCAGAGTTATAGACAGTTGTGAGTTGCTATATACATTCTGGGAATGGAACCTGATCTCTCTAGAAAAAAACAGAAATTGCTTCTCCCTGCTAAGTCAACGCTGAAGCACGTAGTTTGTATGTCTTATGAGGGAGAACTCATAGAGATAAACATTTGTGTGTCTGATGAAATCTTCATTGCTTCTTCATTTCTAAAGGACACAAAACATCTTTAGTTGAGGGCATGTCTAAATGGTTAAAATGAGAATCCCAAGCTATCAAGCTCAGCACCCAATAGAAATACTTTAATATCCATATATATTACCCTGTTATTTACAATAACTAAGATATTAATCAATACATAAATAAAATAGAATGTGTACACAAATGGAATTTTTAAACATTTATTCTAATTTATGTGTATGTGTGTCTTTGTGGATATAAATGTGATGGGTTGGCCAAGAATGCCAGATGCCAAAGATGGTGTCATATCTCCTGGATCTGAATGTAAAGGTGGTTATAAGCTGCCTAACATAGAATCTGAATAAAAAATTTAGATTCTCTAGCAAAGCAAGATGGTTCAGCAAGCTTCTGAATCATCTCTCTAGTAATGAAAATGGAGTTATACTCAGCAATGACAAACAAAATTATTCCATATATAGAAAACTATATGTAACTGAATATCATCATACTAAGGAAAGTAATACAGGATCTTGTTTAGGGGTTAGTACTGTGAAGAGAAATCATAACCATGAAACAATTAATTAGGAAAACATTTAATTGTATCTGGCTTGCAGCTTCAGAGACTTAGTCCATTATCATAACAGGAACCATGATGGTGTACTGGCAGACATGGTGCTAGAGAAGGATCTGAAAATTCTATGTGTGTATTGGCATACAAATGAAAGAGAGAGTGATACTGGTCCTGTCTCGAGCTTCTGACAGCTCAACCTGATTCAACAAGAACAATGAAATACATTGTTTTGTGCAACACTAATCAAAAGTTTGAAAAGCATTTTCCAGATAACATATTCAATGTCATGTCTCATCATTTTAAGCTCTAATAATTTTATTAAAAATAAAACCTGTCAAGCTGGTTTTCTTGACTCAGTGGTTAAGTGCACTGACTACTCTTCCAAGTGTCCTGTGTTCAATTTTCAGCAACCACATAGTGGCTCATAGCCATCTGTGATGGGACCCGATGCCCACTTCTGATGTGTTTGAAGACAGCTAGAGTGTACTCATATACATAAAATAAATAATTAAAAAAAATAAAACCTGTCCTATTTATCGAATAATTTCATAGCTATTTTGATATGATATCACACAAAGAATACAGCATTCTTTGAAAAACATTAGGAAGTGTTTTTTCCTATGAATGCTAAACAATTAGGTACATTGCAAAAAAAATTGAAGTGTTTAAGAAACCCAGTGAATAAAAAAAAATCTGCCTCTCTCCCATCTCTAAAATTCTCTTTCAAAATTTTAATTGCAAAAAAGCATAATGCAAGCCATGAATGGGCACATAGCTCCTCACCCCACCCTGCAGTTGCCACCAGAAGACCAGCTCTAATCCAAGACATACAAGTGAGACCCTCCCACTCCATTCCCCATGCATTCTTGGACCCCAGCAAGCCAAGCATCCAGGAATCTGCCCCACCCTGGAGGAGCTCTGTCTTACAGTCTGTAACTGTACCTGCAGTTGCAAATCAGAGCACTACTCTCTACCTCAAATCAGTGCACTGCCTCCCAGGAAGCCTGCTCAAACCCATGAAACAAAGCTCCACCTACCTCCCTAGAGGCCCACTCCAACCAGTGACACCCAGGACAGCAAACAACAGAGACAACCAACCAGATGGCAAAAGGCGAGTATAAGAACTTAATTATCAGAACTGAGGTCTACTACTAAAGCAAGCACTGGATATCCTAATACAACTGAAGAGCAAGACTGTGATCTTAAATTCCATCTCATAAAGATGGTAGAGGCCTTTAAAAGGAATATAAATAATTACCTTAAAGAAAGACATGAAAACACAAACAGGCAGAAGCCTTTTTGTAAAAAGAAATAAATGCTTCTGTAAGGCAAAGGACACTGTCAATAGGACAAAATGGCAAAGGACAGATTGAGAAAAGATCTTCATCAATCCTACATCCAATAGAGGGCTAATATCCAATATATACAAAGAACTCAAGAAATTAGACTCCAGACAACCAAATAGCCTTATTTAAATATGGGGTACAGAGCTAAACAAAGAATTCTCAACTGAGCAAACATGAATGGCCAAGAAGCTCCTAAAGAAGTGGTCAATATCTTTAGTCATTAGGGAAATGCAAATGAAAACAATCCTGAGATTCCACCTGACACCAGTCAGAATGGCTAAGATCAAAAACTCAGGTGACATCAGATTCTGGTAAGGATGTGGAGAAAGAGGAACACTCCTCCATTATTGATGGAAACACAGGCTGATAAAACCACTATGGAAATCAATCTAATGGTTCCTCAGGAAATTAGACATAGCATTACCTGACAACCAAGCTATACCACTCCTGCACAGAAGATTTGCCAACATATAACAAGGACACATGCTCTTCTATGTTCATAATAGCCTTATTTATAATAGTCAGAAGCTGGAAAGAACCCAGATGTCGTTTAACAGAGGAATGGATACAGAAAATGTGGTACATTTACACAATGGAGTATTACTCAGCTATTAAAAACAATGAATTCATGAAACTCTTAGGCAAATGGATGGTCTAGGTGTGTATCCCCCTCCCCCCCCCAGTTTAAGCCAGGGGGAGCTGACTTAAATAGAGAGGGAGGAAAAAGGAGGGACTGGGAAGGAATAGCTTAATTTAGCTACGCTCTGTGGCCTTTAGATAACTCATGAATATCGAAACCTCTCAAGGCTGAAGCCTGTAGTCATGACCTCTCTAGCCAAAGGTGACTACAAGGTGCAGATCAAATGGAGATCATGCCACTTGTCAGGAGCCTAGATTCTGGAAGCTGGTGGAATAGATGACTGTTCCTCACGGGAAATGGACACCTATTGGGTCTCGGGGCTATTTCCAGCCAGCGCTTCAACCAAAACCGGCTATCCTATCATGGTCCTACAGATGGCAACCCCACAGGGAGATCAACAGTGTCAACTAACCTGACCCCCTGGGAGCTCTCAGAGACTGAAGCACCAACAAAAAAAGCATACATGGGCTGGTCCAAGGCCCCTAGCACGTATATAGCAACTATAGTCAAACCTCAATGAAAGATGTACCTAATCATGTAGAAACATGATGCCCCAGGGTAGAGGAATATGGGGGCTACCCTCTCCAAGGCAAAGGGTGTGACAATGGGGGAAAACTCTGTCATGAGAGACCAGGACGGGGCAGCATTTGGGATGTAAATAAATATTTAATTAATAACAATGAAAAAAAACAAACTAAACCAAACCAAACAAAACCATAATGTAATTGTGGTATTATGAACATGTAATATTTTCATAAATGATGAGACAAATAGCAAACTGACCACTTTAATCATCACCTAGAAACAAAACTATGTTAATAAATGAAAATAGTTAAACAAGTTATTGAGAAAACAACTGAAATAATAATTAAAATATTTTTCAAAATTATTCTACATACAAAACTTTACATTAAAAGACTTCTGTTTTGATTGGCTAACTCAAACAAAGAAATGGTATTTTCTAATTTGTTTGGAAGACTTCTAATTTATGATTTTATTCATAATAAATACAAATGATGCTGAAGGAAAAATGAAAGATGTTGTCTTATTTTAAGCACTTGTATCATGCTTATACAAAAGCAGTACCACTAGGCATAATGGTGCATGCCTTTACTCCAGCACCTGACAGACAGAGATAATGGGGTCTCTCTGAGTTGCAGGAAGGTCAGAACTATACAGTGAAATCTTTTTTCAAAAAAAAAAATGAGGACCCAAGAATCAGTGAAGAGAAAAGTGAAAATTACAGGGTATTGGTGAAACATAAATGAGGTGAGAATAAGAGGGAGAAGGGAAAATAATGTGACAATAGTAGGGACCAGGAGAGTAAGAGGGGAAGGACGTGAAGGAGGTGAAGACCAAAGGTACAGAAATATGGCTACAGAATCAACAAAAACAGACTCAGATGAGGCATACTGTTAAAGTAAAATGGAGAAAGTGAAAATTTACAACCAAAAAATTGAAGAAAACTCACATACTATCTATGAGTTTATTTAAGGTTTCAATGCACCTAAAGAATTCCTAGTATCTGGGGTATGTTCTTTGCCCACTGAGGTTCAGCCATTTTTCCAAGTACCCCCCCCCAAATAAAAGACCCAACCCTGAATATATTCTTCATCCATCAGGGGATATCTCTGAAGATGGAGTTTTCTCCAAGGTCAATTCTGCCAGATTATCTGTTCACTGTTCTGGCATTTCAACGTGTGGTGCTCCTCATAGTTCCAACAGGCCTCAGCCAATATTGTCAGCAGAATCAGAAGAACCAGCACTGCCATACCCATCCTGATTGAACTCTCCAGGGTGTGACCTTCGATAACATTGCCTGGGGAAAAACCACAAAACTTTATGAGTGGGTCAGGCTAATCCATCACAGGAACTTCAAAATGTAGCCTCCCTACCTTTGAATCCATCCCGCCTGCAGACACTAAGCCCAGAAACTATTGCTGATGCCAAGAAGTGCTCCCAGACAGGAGCCTAGTATGGCTGTCCTCTGAGAGGGTCTGCCAGCTTGTGACTAAGACAAACACAGATACTCACAGCCAATCATCAGACTGAGCCAAGGGATCCCAGTGGAAGAGCTAAAAGAAAGACTAAAGGAGCTGAAGGGGATTTCACCATCGTAGGAAGAAAACCAATATCAACTAACCTGATCCCCAAGAGCTTCCAGGGACAAACCACCATCCAAAGAATATATATGGACGGGTCTATGACTCCAGCTACATATGTAGCAGAGTATTGCCTTATCTGGCATCAATGGGAGGTGGTCTCTTTGTCCTGTGGAGGCTTGCTGCCCAGTGTAGGGGGCTTCTAGAAGAGCAAAGCCAGAGTGGGTGGGTGGGTGGGTGGGTGAGCACCCTCTTAAAGGCAAAGGGGAGTAGGAATGAGATAGGGAGGTTTGCAGGGGAGAGACTGGGAAGGAAGATAACATTTGAAATGTAAATAAAGAAAATAACCAATTAAAAATAAAGTATTACATGTAATTTTAAAAGCTACGTTATACTGTTACACCAATAATATTGCTTATATGTTTATATAATTCATATAAATATATATAATTCAATATAAAATTTGTTTTAGATATGAAATTTTAATGTGTTTCTTTGATTTGCCCTATCTCTCCATTAATGCTCCGAAGGGCCGGAGCATTTCTCTTCCCTCTCCAAAAGTGTTTAATTTAACTCACTTTCAGACCAATGCATTTCAAATGAGAGGATATTTATTAATATTTCAAAGATAGGATGGTGACTCTGGCCTGTTCATCTGGGAAACACATCATGACATGTCCCTCCACAATGGCACACAATAGGCTCTGAACAAAACAGCACTATCTTGGTCCCCTCTATTTTCCCACACCCTGTGTTTCTGTCCACCATCGACTTGCCTGAGCTAGGAGCTTAGCTTTACACTAATACAGCCTAGATCAGAATGAGCATAGAAGACTCAGGACCACATCTCCTCCCAGAGAGGTTGTGGCCAAAGTGCAGCAGCACCTAGTGGGTAGTACAGCCCAACAGCCAGAGACAGGAGGAGTGAGAAAAGCTTATTCAACATCACACAGCACCCCAGACTGACTATTGGTCACAGGTCACACCCTTCCCCTGGCACTTTCCTCTCAGGGAGTCTTCCTATTTTTTCTGGTACACACACTGAGAAAGTTCCCTTATTTTTCATGGAGACTAAACTGGTTGAAGATGGATCCTAATGGTCTTGCTCACACAATGCGTACAATGAGACACAGACCACAAGAGGGTAACATAGAGCTGTGCCAACAGTGGTCTGGATTTCAGTTGTGGAGACTGCTTCTGCTTCTTCCCAGAGCCTTCAGAACTTGGTATCGTTGATCAAAAGTTAATTTTCTTAATATTTAAAATAGTAAGAGGCTGGAGAGATGGCCCAGAGGTTGAGAGCACTGGCTGCTTTTCCAGAAACCCTGACTTTAATTACCAGCAACCACATGGTAGCTCATAACCATACATAATTAGATCTGGTGCCCTCTTCCCACATACAGGCATACATGCAGACAGAACAACGTGAATGTAATAAATCTTTAAAAAAAAATAGTAGCATCCCTGGGCATGGGCATGCTGGCATACTCCTTTAATCCAAGAATTCAGGAGGCTCGGGCGGGAGGATCTCTGTGAGTTCAAGGTTAGCCTGGTCTATGTAGCAAGTTACAGGTCAGCCAGCATTATGTATTAACAGTCTCAAAAACAAAATAATGAAATAAAATAAATAGTATCAATGACATCCTGATGCCTGGTTTCAAAGATAAGCAAAAGGCATCTTGTGACATCAACACAACATATATATAAACTGAAATAAACTACTGCATCAGCAAAGAGGCAGGGTGAAGGATTGAGAGCTTATCAGAGGGACTTTGTAGACCTCGTCTCCATCCTAAGTATTGATCCAAAGTGAGTGAATTGTCAATCACTCAGTCACAGACTATGAGAAATACCTGAAAGTAAAAGACATGGAAAACAGGAAACCTGACAGAGTCCCTTCTCAAGCCCTCCTGCTGGAGGGGGATAGCCAGGGAGGGGAACTCTTCCTTCTGTTCTTTCCTCACTTGCTTTGCTTGGCCTCACAGAACTAGTACTAAATAACTCCTGGAAAGCATCCCCAGAACAATGGTCCCGGGCTGCCCACCAGTCATCCATGAATCACATACCTGTCTAGGAAGGTGGGACCTTACTAGAGGAGATGATTTCCTGCAGCCATGACAGGCTCTGACTTGGTAGAAGGACAGGATAATTTACTGTGCTCAGTGAAAAGACATAAATCACCTTGAGAGCAGACTGCCCCTGTCACTGCTGAGGCTCAGTTGCTATCCAGTAAGAAGTGAGGGCTCTGTACTCTACCCCTCAGACTGTAGCTGTATCCAAGTCATTCATGGTGTCTGGGAAGAGTAAAGCTCCAGGGAATCTGAAGTGTTAGATTAAGGGGGACATGTGATGATGGAGGTGGGAGAAAGGAGCCTTGGGGTTAAGAAAAAGCAAAGGAAATGGAGGCAGAGAATAACAGCTATGGTTAGAATCCAGGGCTCTAAGAACAAACCTGAGGTCATTGTTGGACCTGGGGAAGAAACCTGGGTGACATGTTCTTTGATCACCTTTAGCTCCAGCTTCTTACTGCGTTGGGACCATTTGTTCCCTTTCCTATAAATACAGTGATAATATCCAGTCATGGTTTTATTCACTGGCCCAATGTGGAATCGATCCTCTGTCATAGAAGGCTCAGTGTCTTTTTCCATAAAGGGGTTGCTGTCTTTCTCCAGGCGTACTGTGTCAGAGTCATCAGAGTTTGAGCACACAACAGTTACAAAACTCCCTTGAAAGATCACAGGACCTGGCTCAGCGTAGATGGTGACATCAGACAGAGATCCTAGAAAAGAGCAGAACAGGAACCTCAGGATAGACCAAGAAGACAGTACCATAACAAAAAAATAATTTAGGCACAGCATTCCTTTTTCTTACCAAATTTAGAGTTCTCTAGACATGGTCAAACTCCAGCATTATAATATCTCCAGATTAATAACCGTCACTTGGCAATAAGGACTTTATTGAGCACATGTTGTGTCTGGTAACTATCGTTCCAAGGCAATCACAGAACAAAAGTCTAGACATGTCTGCTGGAGGGCCCACCGCGCCTGCTTTCTCCAGAGACATCTGCATTCTCTACTTTATCTCCACCTTCTTTCCATTGTTATTGAGGCTTTAAAAGCCTACCTGTGCTCTGGGCTGGAGCAGACACAGAGTCGGTCTGCTCCCGTCCTGTTGAGAAACTGAATCCTGAGTCATCCAGGAGCCACTGTACTCAGAGCAGCTGGTAAGAACTCCATCTCACTCCCTAAACCCCAGAGATAGACCGGGGAGCCAGGGACATCCAGGGCACAGCAGCTACCCAAACCCCGCCCCTCCGGAATTCCACTTCCCTTCTGCCCCTGCCTGGTCCTCTGGGCTGGAGCAGACACAGAGTTGGTCTGCTCCAGTCCTGTGGAGAAACTGAATCCTGAGTCATCCAGGAGCCACTGCACTCAGAGCAGCTGGAGCTACTGCACTCAGAGCAGCTGAAACTGAATCCTGAGTCATCGAGGACCCACTGCACTCAGAGCAGAAGGATTTCCAGATCCAAGAGGTGGCCTGAGTCCCAGGAGTTATTCCACCCAGGAGATTAGGAGCATAAGACCACACAGACCTCTGGACTCTGAGGAGCTCTGCAATAAGCAAGATAACTGGAAACACAGACTCCAGTTTTACACAGTGAGGGCAGGTACCACTAGAGTTAACCAGATGGCGAAAGGCAAGCACAAGAACATAAGCAACGGAAACCAAAGTTTCTTGGCATCATCAGTGCCCAATTCTCCCAATATAGCAAGCCCTGAACACCCCATCACACCTGAAAAGCAGGATTCAGAATTAAAATCACTTCTCATGATGATGATAGAGGATTATAAGAAGGAATTAAGTAACTCCCTTAAAGAAATACAGGAGAGTACAAGTAAACAGATAGAAGCCCTTAAAGAGGAATCACAGAAATCCCTTAAAGAAATGGAAGAAAACACAAAGAATGAATTAAACAAAAACATTCAGGATCTGAAACTAGAAATAGAAACAATAAAGAAAGTTCAAAGGGAGACAACCATGGAGATAGAAAACCTAAGAAAGAGATCAGGAGTCACAGACGCAAGCATCACCAACCGAATGCAAGAGATAGAAGAGAGAATCTCAAATGCAGAAGATACGGTGGAAAATATTGACACAGTTGTCAAAGAAAATGCAAAATGCAAAAAACTCCTAACTCAAAACATCCAGGAAATCCAGGACACAATGAGAAGACCAAACCTAAGGATAATAGGTATAGATGAGAATGAAGATTCCCAACTTAAAGGGCCAGTAAATATCTTCAACAAAATCATTGAGGAAAATTTCCCTAACCTAAAGAACAAGATGCCCATAAACATACAAGAAGCCTACAGAACACCAAATAGACTAGACCAGAAAAGAAATACCTCCCGTCACATAATAATCAAAACATCAGATGCACAAAACAAAGAAAAAATACTAAAAGCAGTAAGGGAAAAAGGTCAAGTAACATATAAAGGCAGACCTATAAGAATTACACCAGACTTCTCACCAGAGACTATAAAAGCCAGAAGAGCCTGGACGGACATCATACAGACCCTAAGAGAACACAATTGCCAGCCCAGATTACTATACCCAGCAAAACTCTCAATCACTATAGATGGTGAAACCAAGATATTCCATGACAAAACCAAATTTGCACAATATCTTCCCACAAACCCAGCACTTCAAAGGATAATTGATGGAAAATGCCAACACAAGGAGGGAAACTACAACCTAGGAAAAGCAAGTAAGTAATCTTCCAACAACCCCCAAAAAAGATACAAACACAACTTTACCTCTAATAAAAAAAATAACAGGAAGACACAATCATTTTTCCTTAATATCTCTTAACATCAATGGTCTCAATTCCCCAATAAAAAGACGCAGACTATCAGATTGGATACACAAACAAGACCCAGAATTTTGCTGCATACAAGAAACGCACCTCAGTGACAAAGACAGACACTACCTCAGAATAAAAGGGTGGAAAACAATTTTTCAAGCCAATGGTCCCAAGAAACAAGCTGGAGTAGCCATTCTAATATCAAATAAAATCGACTTTCATCCAAAATTAATCAAAAAAGATAAGGAAGGACACTTCATACTCATCAAAGGAAAAATCTACCAAGGTGAACTCTCAATTCTGAACATCTATGCTCCAAATGCAAGGACACCTACATACATAAAAGAAACTTTACTAAAGCTCAAAACACACATTACACCTCACACAATAATAGTGGGGGATTTCAACACCCCACTGTCAGCAATGGACAGATCATGGAAACAGAAACTAAACAGAGACACTTTGAAATTAACAGAAGTTATGAACCAAATGGACTTAACAGACATCTATAGAACATTTCATCCTAAAACAAAAGAATATACCTTTTTCTCAGCACCTCATGGTACCTTCTCCAAAATAGACAATATAATTGGTCACAAAACAAGCCTCTACAGATACAAAAAGATTGAAATAATCCCTTGCATCTTATCAGATCACCACGGACTAAGACTGGTATTTAATAATAACAAAAACAATGGAAAACCCACGTACACATGGAAACTGAACAACTCTCTACTCAATGACGACTTGGTCAAGGAAGAAATAAAGAAAGAAATAAAAGACTTTTTAGAATTCAATGAAAATGAGGACACATCATACCAAAACTTGTGGGACTCCATGAAGGCAGTGCTAAGAGGAAAGCTCATAGCTCTAAGTGCCTACAAAAAGAAACTGGAAAGAGCACACACTAACAAGTTGACTGCACAACTAAAAGCTCTAGAACAAAAAGAAGCAAATACACCCAGGAGGAGTAGAAGGCAGGAAATAATCAAACTCAGGGCTGAAATCAACCAAATAGAAACAGAAAGAACAATACAAAATATCAATAAAACCAGGAGTTGGTTCTTTGAGAAAATCAACAAGATAGATAAACCCTTAGCCAGATTAACCAGAGGGCACAGAGACAGTATCCAAATTAATAAAATCAGAACTGAAAAGGGAGACATAACAACAGAAACTGAAGAAATTCAAAAAATCATCAGATCCTACTACAAAGGCCTATACTCAACAAAACTGGAAAACCTGGATGAAATGGACAATTTCCTAGACAGATACCAGGTACCGAAGTTAAACCAGGAGCAGATAAACCATCTAAATAGTCCCATAACCCCTCAGGAAATAGCAGCAGTCATCAAAAGCCTCCCCACTAAAAAAAGCCCAGGACCAGATGGTTTTAGTGCTGAATTCTATCAGACCTTCAAGGAAGACCTAATACCAATTCTCTTCAAACTATTCCACAAAATAGAGACAGAAGGAACACTACCCAATTCGTTCTATGAAGCTACAATTACACTCATACCCAAACCCCACAAGGACCCGACAA